TCTTTGGCAGGTTTAAAAATAGGTAAAAAATTTAACGAGGTTACAGGCAGAAACAATACAAGTTTAAAAGCTTTAAATGAGTTACATCTATATGGGAATAGTTTGCACAAGTCAGTCACCAATATTCCGCCTACTAGCAGTTTTAAATGCCAGCTACAACGTAAAATACTCCAGAAATCAATCGGCGCCATACATGCCGTAAGGCACCATTGTGGGACCTGACACCAGTAGCGTAGCGAGGGGAGGGGGGGGGCGGGGGGACATATGTCCCCAGGCGCCGACCTTAGGGGGCGCCAAAATGGGTTGGAAAAATAAATTGAAAGGTTGAGGGGGATGCAAATCGAAAGTTTGAAAAGGGGGGGGGGGGTGGAATTCGAAATCTTGAGAGGGAGGGGGGGTGCAAATCGGAAAGTTTGTCACCGGGCGCCGGGAAGGGTCGCTACGCCTCTGCCTGACATACTCGTGTTCGATAACGTTAACTTCTTAAATTCACACACTATTTTATTTGATAATGTTAACTTTTTCAATTCACTCACTATTTTATTTGATAATGTTAACTTCTTCAATTCACTCACTATTTTATTTGCTAATGTTAACTTCTTCAATTCACACATTATTTTATTTGATAACATTAACTTCTTCAATTCACACACTATTTTATTTGATAATGTTAACTTCTACAATTCACAAACTATTTTATTTGATAACGATAACACACTATTTTAGTACTATAATTTGCACTGAAACGAAAACAATTTATTTTCTTTAAATAGTTCTTGGAAGCTGTGTGTGTACTTCACAGCTAATATCAAAGCATGTTAGATTGGTATTATGGTAAAATATATGCTAAGGATAAAATATGAAGCCGCTAAATTTTTCATAAGGATTACCTTGTGAAAGACAATTTTTTTTTTAATTTAAAAATATAAAAGGACAAACTTTAATGATCATACATCTTTTAACTAAACATAAATACACTTTAAGCTAATCGTGCAAAAATTTTATTGTCCGTCCGTCCGTCCGTCCGTCCGTCCGTCCGTCCGTCCGTCTGTCTGTCTGTCTGTCTGTCTGTCTGTCTGTCTGTCTGTCTGTCTGTCTGTCTGTCTGTCTGTCTGTCTGTCTGTCTGTCTGTCTGTCTGCCTGCATGACTGTGAATAGGTTTGAAGCTAAATGAATGTTGACCCATTACTAAAACAATGATCTATTCATTTCCGGTGACAACGCAAAAATATATAATTTTCAAATAATTGCTTCTTAAATAAAAAATTTAAAAATTGTATTTAAACATTACTGTATTTAATGACAAAAGGAACAATGATAGGATTAGTAGAAGCGGTCACCTGGTAATCCAGGTAACTGGTGAGTTGTGTTGACAATGTTTTCACACCAGATAGTCTACGGTATTAATAAGATACAGATAATTGTCATTGAGAGTTAAACTAACAAGTCACTGATCGAGCATTAAAACAAAGATTTTTTATTAATATATGTGGGGTTTCGATTTACTTTAGAACGAAAGAACGGAAATATTAAATAACATGGTACTCACTGTTTCTAAAAACTTACAAATCAACTGTTTTTAAAACTGGAATTGGCCCAGAAACAATTTTAGTGGAGATTACTTTTAAAAACGTGGCGTGTTATTAAAACACGCGGTTATTAAAGCTTCTTTGTGTTGTTTTTGTATGAAAAAAAAATTGACGTGTTCATTGGCGTTAGAATTTTAGGTTTTGATAAAAAATGCTTAAAGAAATTTGTTTTTTTTTAATTCGTTTCTACATGGTAAAGTAATTTAAATGTAAATAAAGTTGCTTTAAGTCTGAAGTATAAAAATACAAATTTACTAGACGAGCGAGGAGAGGTGGTTTAATGAACAAAAATAATGGTTGTCCTTGTGAAAAGTTATGAAATAATGGTCGATACAAATGCGATCAGAGTTTCTTCCAGGCATCTCTTCGGGGGGGGGGGGGGGGGGGAATTTTTTTACCGCCCCCCCCCCCCCCCGAACGAAATGAAATTTATATAATTTATATAGAAAATATATACTTTTAACAGAGTCCGCCCCCCCCCCCCCCCCCCGAAGAAAGTCTACCGCCCCCCCCGAAAATTTCAAGTGCCCCCCCAGAGAAAGAAGTCTGGAAGAAGCACTGAATGCGATGCACAAGATTAGGGCTACAACAATCGATTTGTTTATGACAATACATACAAATATCCTCACAAGTTAAAAAAAAGTTCTTTGCACCTACGGATTCTGAGAAAATTTTCAGCATTTGTTCAATGTTTTTATTTATCTCACGTCTACTCAGAAGACCAAGTTTACAAAAAACGCCAAGTCAATGTCAACAATAATGATCGGGTCCTTCTCAACAAATCTGGTCAAAGTCAATATCCTTAGTTTAGTTACAAAAAAAGTAGAACGTAAAACACAAATAAACCATTTATAATGACAAGCTTTTCAACGCACTAAAATAAGCAAATAAAATAAAATTGCTTTTTGACA